AACAAAATCAGAAATGAAAGAGGTGAAGTAACAACTGACCCTACTGATATACAAAGGATTGTCAAAAAATACTACGAGCAACTCTACTCCAACAAACTGGACAACCTCAACAAAATGTACACATTCCTAGAAATATACAAGCTTCCAAAACTCAATCAGGAAGAATCAAAAAACCTGAATAGGCCAATAACTGCTGATGAAATTGAAACAGTAATCAAAAAGCTTCAAGCAAATAAAAGCCCTGGACCAGATGGCTTCACAGGGGAGTTTTACTGAACATTCAAAGAAGAATTAAAGCCAATCCTTCTCAGACTATTCCAAAAAATTCAAGAGGAAGGCACACTTCTAAGCTCTTTCTATGAAGCCAGCATCACCCTAATCCAAAAACCAGATAAAGACACCACAAAGAAAGAGAATTACAGGCCAATATCCCTGATGAACATAGATGCTAAAATCCTCAACAAAATTCTAGCAAACCGGATCCAGTATTACTTTAGAAAGATCATACACCATGACCAAGTGGGATTTATTCAGGAATGCAAGGCTGGTACAATATCTGCAAATCAATAAATGTGATACATCACATAAGTTGAGAGACAAAAATCACATAATCATATCGATGATGCAGAAAAGGCATTTGACAAAGTCCAACACCCTTTTCTAATAAAAATGCTCAGCAAAGAGGGAATAGAGGGATCGTACCTCAACGTAACGAAAGCCATATATGACACACTTACAGCCAACATCATACTCAATGGGCAAAAACTAAAGCCATTTCCCTTAAGAACAGGAACAAGACAGGGATGCCCAATTTCACCACTCCTGTTCGACATAGTACTGGAAGTGCTAGCCAAAGCGATCAGACAAGAAGAAGAAGAAATAAAAAGGCATCCAAATTGGAAAAGATGAAGTAAAATTGTCATTATTCGCAGACGACATGATACTGTACTTTAACCCTAAAGACTCCATCAAAAAATTATTAGACCTAATAAATGAATTTGGCAATGTAGCAGGATACAAAATTAATGCAAGAAATCTATGGCACTTTTATACGCCAATAGTGAACTTACAGAAAGAGAAATTAAAAAAACAATCCCATTTACCATTGCACCAAAAAAATTAAGATACCTGGGAATAAACTTAACCAAGGAGCTAAAAGACCTCTACCCAGAAAACTACAGGACTTTGAAAAAAGAGATAGAGGAAGACATAAACAGATGGAAGAACATACCATGTTCATGGATTGGTAGAATCGACATCAATAAAATGTCCATACTACCCAAAGCAATCTATAGATTCAATGCACTTCCCATTAAAATACCAACAGCATATTTCACAGACCTAGAAAGAACTCTCCAAAAATTCATCTGGAATAAAAAAAAAACCACCCCAAATAGCTTCTGCGATCCTGAGAAAGAAGAACAAAGTAGGTGGGATCTCAATTCCAGATATCAAGCAGTATTACAAAGCCATTGTTCTCAAACTGTTTGGTACTGGCACAAGAACAGACATATAGACCAATGGAATAGAACAGAGAGCCCAGAAATCGACCCAAACCATTTTGCTCAATTAATATTTGACAAAGGAGGCAAGAACATACAATGGAGTCAAGATAGTCTCTTCAATAAATGGTGCTGGGGAATTTGGTCAGACACATGCAAAAAAAATGAAACTAGACCACCAACTTACACCATACATAAAAATAAACTCAAAATGGATAAAGGACTTAAACGTAAGACAGCAAACCATAAGATTATTAGAGGAAATCACAGGTAGCAAAATCTCAGATATATGCCGAAGGAATTTCTTCACTGACACAGTTCCTAGGGCAGGGGTGGACAAACTTTCTGACTCGAGGGCCACAATGGGTTCTTAAACTGGACCGGAGGGCCGGAACAAAAGCATGGATGGAGTGTTTGTGTGAACTAATATAAATTCAAAGTAAACATCATTACATAAAAGGGTACGGTCTTTTTTTTTTTTTAGTTTTATTCATTTCAAACGGGCCGAATCCGGCCCGCGGGCCGTAGTTTGCCCACGGCTGTCCTAAGGGCAATGGAAACTAAAGGGAAAATAAGCAAATGGGACTATATCAAAATAAAAAGCTTCTGCACAGCAAAAGAAACCATCAACAAAACAACAAGAAAACCCACTGCATGGGAGAACATATTTGCCAATCATATCTCTGATAAAGGTTTAATCTCCAACATTTATAGGAAACTCATACAACTCAACAAAAGGAAGATAAACAACCCAATCAAAAAATGGGCAACGGACCTAAACAGACACTTTTTGAAAGAGGACATTCAGAAAGCCAAGAGACATAGAGAAAACATGCTCAAAGTCACTAATCATCCGAGAGATGCAAATCAAAACAACAATGAGGTACCATCTCACACATGTCAGAATGGCTATCATCAACAAATCAACAAATGACAAATGCTGGCGAGGATGCTGAGAAAAAGGAACCTTTGTTCACTGCTGGTGGGAATGCAAACTGGTGCAGCCACTGTGGAGAACAGTATGGAGTTTCCTCAAAAAACTGAAAATGGAACTTCCATTTGACCCCGTGATCCCACTTCTAGGGATATATCCCAAGAAACCAGAAACACCAATCAGAAAGGATATATGCACCCCTATGTTCATAGCAGCACAATTTACAATAGCTAAGATTTGGAATCAGCCTAAGTGCCCATCAGCAGATGAATGGATTAAAAAACTTTGGCACATCTACACAATGGAATACTATACAGCTGAAAAAGGAAGGAACTCCTACCATTTGCAACAGCATGGATGGAGCTGGAGAGCATTATGCTAAGTGCAACAAGTCAGTCAGAGAAAGATAACTACCACATGGTCTCACTCATTTGTGGATTATAATGAACAACATAAATCGATCAACAAAAACAGATGTAGAGACAGAGAAGCAGCAATCAGATGCTCAAAACTCAGAGGGAAGGCAGGGGAGGGTGTGGGAATGGGGGAAAGATCAAGCAATGGACTTGTATGCATGCATATAAGCATAAGTGATGGATGTGGACAATAGGCAGGGAGGGTAAGGGCAGGATTGGGGGGATAAGGACACATTTGTAATATCTTATTCAATAAAGAAAAAAAAAAGAGAGACACTCCTCACATATTTGTAGAAATATCAGAGAGAGAACTGTTGTTTGACTTCACAGTAGACCTGTGGTCGGCAAACTGTGGCTCTCATGCCATATGCGGTTCTATGGCCCCTTGAGAGTGGCTCTTTCTAAGCCTTAGGAGTACCCTAATTAAGTGAATAACAATGTACCTACCTATATAGTTTAAGTTTAAAAAATTTGGCTATCAAAAGAAATTTCAATCATCATACTGTTGATATTTGGCTCTGTTGTCTAAAGAGATTGCTGACCACTGCAGTAGACCATAAGCACTTGGGCATTTCGCTGTCTGTGTTGCTTAAACTACACTTGCCACGAATCCTATGGAGCACTCAGCTCCACTATCCTTACTGACCAGGTCCAATAATGGAGATTGTTTGCCCAGTGATGTAGCCTTTCAGTGCTGTCAGACATGGGCCTAATGCAGTTCAGCTGCCATGTCAGCAGTGCTGCCCAGAACACTGATGTGTGTCGGAATGGACTGCGTTAGGGTGCTTGCTTGAGCTGCCATAACATAGGACCACACTGGGTGGCGGTAACAGTAGACATTCATTTTCTCACAATTCCGGAGGCTAGAAGTGCGAGATGGTGCTGTCAGCGGGGCTGGTATCGCCTGAGGGGGTTGCTCCTCAGCTTGTAGATGGCTGTCTTCTCTCTGTGTGTCACATGGACTCCCCTCTGCACTGCCACGTGTCCTCCCCTCCTCTTCTAAGGACACTGGTCAGATTCGATGAAGACCCACACCACTGAATTCACGTCACCTGAATGACTTGCTTGAAGACTAAAACTCAAATGCAGACACATAATCAAGTTCTAGGGGTTGCAAAGTCATGGGATTAGGGGTACACAATTCAGGCCACAGTACATGTAATGTCCCCAGCTGGAGATGAACGCCCACTGCTGGGGGAAGGACGAGCACGTGTAAAATTTGAACGGCTGCAGGCAGATTCCAAACCCAAAGGGCTGTGGCAGGGACGTTGCCAACAGCAGTTTCTGATGATGGCTGCTGCCTTGCTCCCAGCCTGGCCCGGGAAATCTCACTCATTGAAATTTTCACCTGGCCGACGTCAAGGTGTCCAACTCAAACACAGTGTTCCGTCCCTGGCAATTGCCTCATGGGGACACTGAGGCACCTGTCACTTTACACCCACCACATGGATTAGCTCCTCCCCGAGTCCTCTGGTCAGATTCCTGCCCCGTGATCGCCTTTCTCCCATCTGCAGTCTCCAGGCATTTGCCACCTTGCGGAATCTGCCATCTCCATAATGAGGGTCTTACAATGCCCTTTAATGTAAAAGGATAAAACATAACTTTCTCTTTTGAAGTCAAAGGCTTTCACAGGCCATTTCTACCGTGTACACTGTTCCCACGCTGGGGAGGGACAAGGTTCCCACACCCTTTCCACCCATGTCAGTAGCAGGGAAGTCTCTGGTACCTGAGAGGGAATGTCATGCAGGACAGTACCCAGTTCTGACCTGCATGCCCTTGAGCAGGCATCTGATATTTCCTAAGCCTCTGTGTTCTCATCTCTATAACAAGGACCTTTTTTTGGGACTCACAGGGCCCGGGCTCTTCATATACACTATTACTACAAGGAGGTTTGTTGATCCTCAGCTAAAGGGAAGGGGGCGGGGGTGGGGGGGGGGAAGGTGCCGAGAAGGTGGCAATTGTATGAACATGTACGGAACTTCAGTGGCACTTTGAAGACCTAGAACCTCCTCCAGCCGGGGCACTCCTGTCCCTCCTCTTGCACACGTCCCAGTGGGGCTGGGACCTCCCGACTGAGCTCCAAACCTCCATCCTTGTGGGATTCACGGTCATGCCGCTGACATGGATGTCCTTCCTTCTCCCACCCAGTGTGCAGCTGAGCGAACTGGTAACCTGCATGAGTCCTGCAGGATGCAGGCCCTCCAGGAAGGCACCTCGGAGAAGGTGGCCATGGCCATGGTACCAGCTTTCCCGGGGGGAATCGTCCCCCACGTCTCCACGCTGGCCTGCTCCAGAGCCCAACGGTTCCTGGACGAGCTTCTAACTAGGTGAGCACACACGCGTGACTCTGCCCACTGCTAGCTGTGAGGCATGAAAACGTCACCACATCTTCCCGAGTCTCAGGATGCTCCTCTGAAAAGTGGGCTGCTGAGGGGGGCGGGGAGGACCTCATAGCACTGCTGTGGGGACAAGCCATGGCAGGTCTCACCTGCTCCCTGGCTCTGCAGACAGGGTAGCTGGATGTGCGGCGCTTGTTGGTGGCAATTCTTTCACTCTGTCCCACGGAAAGAACTCTGACACACCCATCAGAGGCCTGTGGCATCGGAGGTTGGAAAAGCACATGCAAAGCAACCTGTTAAGCAGTGTGAGATTTCACCTAGCCGGTCCTGGTCCTTGGTGGAGCCACACTGGGGATTTCTGGGGAGAGCAGGGGCCCAGGCCCACTCAGATGTATGGCATGCTTCTGGTTGGAGTTTCTTTACTCGACAATGTGCACGCACTTTTGGAGACACTTAGCCTGACTCAAGGAATGAAGCAGACGACAATCCCTGGGCCTCAGTTCTGGGCATTGGGTCCAGCAGTCACGCTCTCCATCATTTGCAGGTCGTGTCCACCATCCATCAGGGCTGATGCGATCAGAGTGATTTTTCCATCTGGAGGCACACCTGCTTACAATGACCGGGCTGACACACCGCAGGACCAAGTCATAAAGTGAGTGGTCTCCGGGTCCAGAAGGAGGGCCCCCAGAGTCAGCATCGTGGGGACTGTGGTGGGTGGGGGGTGGAGAGTGCCTGGCAGAACCCTAATCTTATACATCATCTGATTCCCAAGAAAGGCCTGGGCTCTGGAGTCTTCTATTCCCGGAGGACAGGAGTCAAAGACGACAGTGGGTGGGGTCCCGGGCCTTGTAGACCCAGAGGGGACGCTGTGCTGAGTTGTCCCTCACAGTCCCCTCCCCGCCACAGACCCACCCCGCTCTGCCTGCCCCTCTCCATATCCATCTCCCCTGACCACGGTGGCCAGGCTCAGAACAGGCCTGTGGTGAGCAGGCTGCTCACAAGTCTGTCTCAGTCCTCAGCCCAGATGCCCAGGGCCTGGAGGGTGGGGGTGGGCAGTGCACTGGACCTTCAGGAGAGCTGCCAGTGGGAAGAAGAGTCTCACACAGACTCCGTGTTGAACCTGCTGGATCCCACAACTGCTACAACCAGGACAGCCACACAGGGGCCGGGGGTGGCATGGGGCTGTCCCCTGGGTGGGCAAGGGGGGCCTGCACAGAGGCTCAGATCTAAACAAGTGTGCCATGGGAGGGCAGAGTGGAAGGAAAGACCAGGACTCAGAATCTGCTGCCCACCTGCCTCTCCCCAGGGCCTTTGCTGCGATGGTGGGGACCTGGCTGGACCACGTCCAGGGTTTGGGGCAGCCCCTTCCTTTCGCCTGCTTCGAGGTAGAGCAGGCCTTGGTGCCCATCAACTCCCCTGCCTCACACCTGGTGGGCCACGCCCAAAATCTATGGTTGGCGCTGCAGCACCTTGAGCCCACCCAGGCAACTCAACAAGGTGAGGCGGAATGATCATCTGGGCCGATCATCGGGGGAGGGCAGGCTCATGGGCTGGAGTTCCCTTAAAGGCGGTGGCATCTTTCCTGTCTGCACTAAGTCACAGGAAAGCCAGGAGTGTGAGTCAATCTGTCTCTTTCTCCTGCTCCAGGTCCACGCCCAGAGCTCCAGAGCTCTCCGGAGGCAGAGGAAGGGCCCGCTCAGGGGCCAGAGCCTGGTCCAACGAGAGGCACTGCCCTGGCCAGGCCTGGACCGAGGCAGTACCTGAAGCCATTATGGAGCCAGCTACTGGCTGCGCTGGAAGCCTTCTCTCGTGCTGTCAGAAGAGTTCTAGGCGATTATCTTAAATAATTCAGAGGAATACATCCCAACTGTACATTTATAATAGTAAATAAGGATAATTTCTAAAAGTACCTACCTATTTATGTAGACTATTTCCCATTAAGTTAAATACTCCTTTTGATTAAATAAGGTTGTTTATTAAAAACACGTGTAGACCATGTCTTCTCATGTACATATACATAGTTCCATACACACACACACACACACACACACACACACACACACGTACACATATATGCTGACATGGAAGGTGCTCACTGTATAATACAGTTTTAAAATAAGTTTTGAAACATTTAATTTCTTCTGATAACTACGTATACACTGATAAAATGGGGAAATAAAATCTGGAAATATATACACCAAAATGTTCACACTAGTGAACTGTCAGAAGTGAAAGTACCAGAAGTGACAGTTTCTTCTCATTTTGCTTTATGTATAGGTTCTGGTTGACACAAGGATCATACCTCCAGTATATAGACAGACAGTAGAGAGAGGAAGGGAGAGGCAGAGAACATAGATGAGAGGTGCACCAGCCGCCTCCTGCCACCCCCGCCATGGAATTGACCGCAAAACCCTGCCATGTGCCCTCCCTGGGAACTGATCCGGAAACCTTTCAGTGCAAGGGGAGATGCCCATCCAATGAGCCCCATCAGCCGGGGCTAGACTCAGTATATATTTTAAAAAATACACTTTGATTGATTTCAGGGAGGGAGAAAGGGCGAGACAGAAACGTAAACCATGAGAGAGAAGCATTGATCGGTTTCCTCCTTCACGACCCCTATTGGTGATCCAGTCTGCAACCCGGGCCTGTGCCCTGACCCGGAATCAAACCAACTGTGCACTCCTGCCTGCTTCACAGGCGGACGCTCGACCACCGTGCAGCACTGGCCAGACTCAATCATATCTTTCTAAACTTTCCCAAGTGCCAATTTGTATCTTGAAATGGTCTCAGGAAAGGAAAAATTACTTAATGGGGGGCATTCTACTTCCCTCGCCGTTTAGCTGCATTTGCTATTTGGCCAGAAACAACCAGTAGACTAGCTCTCAACCATACTTAAAATCACTAGGGATAGCAAGAGCATTGCTTTGGTTGCAACAGGAGTAACTCAAAACAACTCCCTCCACTAAACACTTCCTGAATCATTTCCCTTCCTCCATGAGCCCAGAATTTAACTCACCAGTCAAACTCAGCTTAGGGAGAGGCAATGGTTCCACTGGAACAGGACGGAACGGAAACAAGGTACACAGCCCTGGTTCTACCGGAGGGGCCATAGTTCACTGACACCACCACTGGAACAATCTATAATTAAAATGAAAACCACCATGTCAGAAAATTCTAAGCAGAAAAGGACAAAGGAATGCCACTTTTGAGTATTTCAAAAGGAGGCACTCTGTGCAAGAGGGATCCGTTCAGTGCTGTGGCCCAATCATCCAAATCTCATCGTTCTCATGTGAGCAGTACTCTTGCTCTGAGGGGAGACACATTTCCTTTCTTTCATTTCATATTTGCTTTCAAGGCAAACCAGCTAGCTGGTCAATACACCAAGCCAACACTCCTCAGGTATCCAACAAGAGAAACCTAAATGTCTCAGTGAATTTTAAGTTTTACTAAATTTGAATTAAAAAAAAGTTTCATTTTAAATTGATATGTGGCTGCCCGACTGGCGTGGCTCAGTGCTTGATCGTGGACCCCGGAACCAAGAGATCCCCGTTTCATTCCCAGTCAGGGCCCGTACTGGGGTTGCGCGCTAGGGGCTATGGGACCGATGATGCTCTCTCATCATTGATGTTTCTCTCTCC